CGCAGCTTTTATAGGTCCTGAGATGAAAGTGCGTGACAGACGCACACACAGACACACAAACACACACACGCACAGACACACAGATACACAGACACACAGACACACGGACACAGAGACACACGGACACACAAACAACCTCTCGTCAATATGCGTTTTTCGCATTGCATTGCTGCAAAAAACGCATAAAAATGACAATCCTTTGTTGCGCGGCATAACGCAGTGGTAAGCAGCATTGAGGTGCAGTATATCAAGAGTTCTTGGTGAGATAATTAATCCTCTAAGATTCGTTTATTTCATTTTGGCGGTAAGTTGGCATTGGCATATACCAGAGAGTCGAATCTGCCACCACCTTATTTGTAAGCAGCCCTCAAAAAAGGAAACTGTCGACAACCTTGCCGTCGGTGACTGCAATCGGTATTTGCTACCATTCAGGGTAGTTTGCGAGTGACTCTGCCTCCCATAAAAAGCGAATACAAAGGTGAGGTTGAATCTGACTTTTGATAATATAAAGAACTCATTATTGCTCCATCAAGCATGCACCACCCTACTCCAAATCTATCAAGAAAAAAGTTATCAAAGACAAACTTCCAACTAAAAAAATTACATCTTGATAAGCTAGAAGAGATGATAAGCTAAAATTACATCTTAACTTGCAATAAAACCCAAAAAATTTTTCACTAATATAAATTTCGGGAAATCAAAGCAGGCAATGAGCTTTATGACAGCATTTCTGGAAAAATACCAAACTTACCGTCCTCAACCTTCTTGTTTTCGGTTTTCATATCTCCTTTTTCCTGGTCCTTTTCCTCTTCCTTCACTTCCTCGTGCTCCTCACCACCACCTCCAATTCCGGTTTCATCGTCTTCCAACTGCTCACCTTCCGCAGCACTTTTTGGCTGAGGCTCTTCGGTATGCCTGGCGGATTCATCCTGTTCTTCTGCTGTTTCACTCAAATCCCGCGCTTCGCCCTCTTTACTTGTATCCGCCGCATCCTTCTCATCATCTACTTGTTCATGCAACGCCTCGTCTTCTATCGATTCGTCTAATTTTGAAAATTTATCATCCAGTTCATTTTGCGCTGAGATACCGCACGTCAGTCCCGTAAAACCCTGATGACAAACGCATTTACCGCAATCACATGTTCCGTGTCCATTGCATATTTCCTGGAAAATGAAAATATGAGGAAAAAAAATCCAGAAATTTGGAACTGAACAGCACTACTCGTTGTCCCCTGTTGTGATATTATGATATTCGAAAGATTTTAATAATAATTTTCGGATTTCCCAGAAAGGCCAGATTTTTACGGGACTCTGCTTACCTCTTCGCCCTTACCCAACAATTTTACTTTTACTCTTAGTTTATTAACCCCCTGCTTTTTTTTTATTGATGATATAATAATAATAATAATAAAAAATAATAATAATAAATGTCGCGAAATTGTACTGACAAGGCCCAGTTGTGGCGCTGATTTAAGACGATGCAAATTTATGGAATAAAACGTCTCAATCTCAGCTAAATTATTATTTCTTCACATACATTGTACTTTCAATTTTTAATGTTTCCGATGTATCTCAAAAAAAACCTATTAGCTAATACTTAACTTTTAAATAGCGTTTATCTGTTTAAATCTAATAGGTTACTTGGCATCTGATATCAAATAAATATCCCGTAATATTTCATGAAAGAACACTATAACGGACCTTGTTAGTTTAGCCTGTGGATGAACTTACATCTGGAGAACTGCATCTCTGACAGAATCCATAATTAAGCAGCATTCTCGATTCCCTGTGCTTTCATTTTTTTTTCCGACATTTTTTCACGTTCTGATTTCTCGCTCCTTCTTTATTCCTTCCTCGTTATTAATTTTGCCCATTTCGCCTAAGACACAAAAAATCACTTACCCCTCCTTCAGTGCAAGGAGTGGTATCCAGAGAGCAGGAACAATCGTCTCCTGTGTAGCCTTCCTCGCATCGACATTTTCCACAACTGCATTCGCCCTGACCAGCGCACATCTTTCCTTCGAACTGAGGACATGACATACCCTCACAATCGCAAAACTCGCCGGTCACCTGAAGCTGTCACATTTTCATTCATTTACAAACGTAATGGATTTTTACAGTCCATCATTTTTGGATTCAGAGATTACATATGATTCATGAATTTCTTCGCTTCATTAACCCATAAAAACGAATTTTACATTCATGTTACAGTACAGGAACAGCTCAGATTACATCGATTTTAGTGCACCGCTCTGTTGCTACTGTGTTACGTTTGCGCAAACTGTTATTTTGTTTCTAACATCGGACACGTAAGGTGTTAAGCCATTAAGTCATCCATCATGTTTATGTGTGATTGACACCTCATGCTCTGGGGAAACAATATAAACACGTTATTTACCGTACAAAAACCCAGGCTGGAACGCACCAGGCGGGCCGGTACGATTATGCGTTTTTGCACTTTTCGTGCCGTAGCAAGATCGCAAGGAGTCAATGTAGCTAACCCTGAAAATACTGGCCCTCGAAGTTCGGAAGTTAATTTGTGCAGCCGATGTGGTATTTCAGTTGTAGGTTCGACTTCAGTGACCCGACAAATTGAAAGTTGCTGGTCCGCAAATCAGTTGTAGGTGTCGACTTCAGTGACCCGACAAATGGAAAGTTGCTGGCCCGCAAAAAAAGGCCACGCTAGACGTAGGTGTCGACTTCTGTGGCCCGACAAATGGAAAGTTGCTGGTCCGCAAAAAAAGGCCACGCTAGAAGAGTTAGGTGTCGACTTCAGTGACCCGACAAATGGAAAGTTGCCAGTCCGCAGAAAAGGCCACGCTAGAAGAGTTAAATTTAAAATTTTTTAGTTGCACATAAGCGGGGA